TTCAATGCACAAGTGTGACCTGAGCTTACGAAATACGCACCGTTGCAAAAATCTGGTGGACAATCCGTTCAGTCTGTACTTCACACAGCGCGTGTGACATGTGAGGGCTCGCGCTTTTCAGAGACAATCACAGAATATGTGAGGCGCTGTGTGAAGTACAGACTGAATGGATTGTCAACACATCCCACCACTGTATGGCCAGATGAGACGCAAACTATGTTTTCTTGACTGGATAACCAGTGTCGCTAGTAAAGTTTTGATGGATGAAGACTGCAATCAAGGTAAAGACGATTGCGGTGGCGTACAGGAGTCGTACAGTAAGCACGTGTGAGTCCGTTATAATAATGCGTGTATGAGCTCTTGACGCACTGATCACACATTGTATTTATGCACAGGCACAGACATTTCCATACATTCACTTCGTTTCCACACACATTCACGATAATATTTTGATTTGTCATGGTTATGTTGCTGTGTTTAGTTATACTGAATGGATCAGTGTACTCTAGTAGATATATGCAGTCAGCAAGCGGTTGGTTTAGGGTTTTTTTGGCATCTCCATGTGGTCCTGTTCGGTATCGCAACTTGACTTCTCTAAAATGTAAAAAAAGCTCTTTGCTGTTGCACTGTACACATACTATAACATTCTGATTTTTTTTCTTTCATATGTGCTTATATGGGATCCTTATATAATTTGGTTCTTTAATGTCCTTTTGGAGTTTCTACGTGTCCTTTTTTGGAAAGACATCTAAATTTAGCTAGCAGAAAATACAGATGTTTGAGAATCACCCTTCAATCTTTTGGTTTACTTTGCTGGATATAGCAAATGATGGCAAAATAAACATGTGAAACAAGATAAATGGTCAATGCTTAATTTCATGAAGTGTGCGATTAATCGCGATAAATTACAGAAAAAGGGTGTGATTCATTAGATTAAACATTTTAATCGATTGACAGCCCTAATTATATTATATTATATTATATTATAAACCATTTTTGTAGCTGTATATCAGAAGTGTTACACAGCCAAACAAATGTCAATGGAATTGCTAGATTGCAGGTTTAAACAGTCAGGACAAATGACACAAGGCAACACTCATAAGGTTCCCAAATTCCCTTGCTAGCTAGCAGCAGTTGTATGTATTTACTGGCCACCGCAGAGCTGTTTCTCAAGTCTCAGGCCTGAGGAGACAGGACGGCAGAACAGCCTTTGGTGCTTACAGGCCCCTGAATTTAAAGGCCATGTCACTTACAGCTGTCTGCTACATCTGCCCAATTCCTCATTCTGACAGGCAGATCAGCCCCAATGCAAGCGGCCAGTAGCAAATTTGATTTTATCGGCACCCCAGGAGTTAACCTGTCATCTCGTTTTGCATTACTTTTCATGTCAGTAGAATGTTTGCGAGCGCCACTTTAGCAGCCGGTGAAGTTTTTCTCATAAGCTGCTTTGTCAGACATTAATAAATGGCGCTCATTTACTTTGGCAGGAAATTGTGTTTGGAGGATTGCCATGATTAAAGAAGCGAATAATGAGAAATAACACTTACGAGATCATAGAGAAACTCTTCAAAGGCCATGTTTTAATGATCTCTGAGCTTCCTGTGCTGGTCTTGGAGCCTCTGCAAAGCTGGCAAAATACTGCAGATATTATGAGTAATAAACTAGTGGACTTTCTCTTTATTTAAATCGTCGGCTTTTGACTCGTGAAGGGGTTTGTGTGGGAATGCGTTTGTTATTTCCGTTTAAGCTTAATTTAATACGTACTCTATGGGTGTGCATCGAGGCAAGAAAGTGTTTAATTACAAGGGCCCAAGTAACTATGTAAGGATATGAGTTTGTGTGTGTGAAAATGAGAGCACATATCCATTCTTTGAAGATGTATCCCTGTAGAGGACTCTCTTTTCCTGTGTGGGAGAGACCAGGCCTCATTATCTCCTCTCGATTCATCCCTACTCCCATATCACCGGTGAATATTGTCACGTGATCTGGATGTACATGTTCAGATGGGCTGTATACAGCTGCTGGTTGGTATATTCTATGTGGGTGTGTGAAGAAAAACCCCAATACTCAATTAAAATGCTGATGGCATCTGTAGGAAGGGGAATCTGCTCTAATATAGGACAAAAGAGCAACCATGGAAAACCGCTTGATTGGGGTTGAAATCTGAGAATATTTCCTGTACTTCTCTGTTTACAAAACAAGGGATCCCCAAATTGTTCATGTTCAAATTTGAAGTATATTTATGCTTTAATATAATGTAATTAGTGCATTAACCTTGTGTGTTTTTTAACCACCTTCAAACCACCATTCATGTTATCATCACAAATTATGCATTTTTATTCATTAAGATTGAAATATTAAGTATTTTTATTTTATTTTTTATATTTTATTTAGAAATTTGTGACATTTACATATTCATGTTTAATTATTTATACTTAATTTCTAGAAATTATTAAGTATTCAGTATTAAGTATTATTTATTAAGTTATCCTATTTTGTTTCTAAATTGTAAGTTGTTCAGTGATGCCACATAATATTATGATTATATTTAAATCTTTGGTGTTACAAAGAGTATTACAGATAATATGGTGTTACAAATACTGGATTTTGTCTTAAAAATGGTATAAAATAGATAAATAAACCCATGATCCTGCATAGGACATGTGGTTTGGAAAAATAAAATAAACAAACCTGTGACACTATAGGACAAACAGTTTGGAAAATGGATTGATAAAAAAAAAAATAATAAAAAAAATAAATAAATAAACTTGTAGGGTTGATGTATTTAAATAAACCCACAATCGTACGTACAGTAGAACAAGTGGTTTGAAAAACGAAAATAAACAAATAAATAACTATACAATAGGACAAATGGTTTGGATGGATAAAAAATAAAATAGTAAAAAAATCTAATGAATGTTCATGGGTCATTCATGAATGAACGATCCTGAATAATCAAAATATTCATTCTGTAAACATTTCTTCAAAATGCAATTTAGAATACATTTTACTGCATGCAGAGACCTCTTGGATTCATTTCATATCCGAATAGTGTCATCATTAACAATAAAAGCAGGATGTAGCCTTGTCCCGGAAGGGAGATGTGGTGTTGTCACACATCTGTGTGGTGCGGGTCCTCTTGGGTAATTAAAAATGTATCATTCAATATTAAACTGATCTTATAGATATACAATGGTCTCAGTGCAATACATCAATGAGTTGGTCTTAAGGGCTTGAGGGGTTTCATGTGCTATAGGCTGATCTGAAATATCATTTGCCTTAGTTATACTGTAAACATAATGCTAGCAGGAGAGATGGATCTGGCAGAGCATAAGTAACAAGTCACCAGTTTGGATGTCTGCAAAGAAAGATTAAAGTAATATTCATGGTAAACACTGAGACTTTGATTTATATGTAAATCTTATTCATAGATTTATGCAGTACAGTGTAGCTGCTAGCGAAAGATTGTGTTGTTTAGCTAAGGTGTTTATTTACGACCAGCATATTTGAATATATTCCTGCACTTCCAGCAGAGGGCGCATTTGAAGTCAAGGATGAGAGCTTGCCTGATCAATAGCATTAAAAAAAATGTGATAGAAATTCGTAATTTCAATGACTCGCACAGATTTACATGAAAAAGCCACAGCTAATAGCTGAGGGCAGCTGTTAAATGAAGTAATCCTGCAATTTACATATGTCACAATGACTTTAATAGATACTCATCCCATTAACAGGGCAGTGTTTAAATCATGACATATTGCGTGGCTCCATGGCTTTCAGAAAGGCAGCTTTGTGAAATATGATTTTAGTAGAGGAAGGGCCAGCATGTCTTCTCCTCCCACTCATCTTCATTTAGCTCTAAAAGAGACGTTTCTCCTCAATTACTGGTAGGATTTCACCATCCACAGGGCATAAATCATCCGCACAGTCCCGTAATAACAAGATATGTCTTCATGACTGCGCTAATGACAACATAATTTGGTTTAATCAAGCTTATAGTTGTACAAGAAAGAAAAATCCTTGAGTCACTTGTAGGAGTAAATCTAAGATTCTAAATCGAAACAACCTGTGGAGTTCAACCAGTTTATAAGAATATATCATATATATGTATATGTATAGTAGCTGATGAGCAGAATTTGATCATTCAGGTCTCAGTAACCCTTTCTGGTAATTCACAAAACAGATGTTCCAAATTCATTTTAAAATAAGACCTATTTGTGGGGTTTTATTGCATAACAAGTGTAAGGTATTGTAAAATTGGACATCTCTGACAAATAATTTTTAATTCAACAAGTCGATACATTTTTAGATGAAAATAATTTGTTTTCATTTCATTAAGGCCTATGCAATATCAGTTTATTACAGAACGAGCTCTGGGAACAGGCAAATAACCAGAGGTTTCCATTTATGGAAAGGTTATATTGCAAGAATAATGAATGTAGGAGGATGCAGAGCTACGGCTGCGTTATTAAATGTAAACATGTGTCAGTCCTCATGGCTTTTCCTCTCCTAATGGTGGGGGTGCCTCAAAATGTCACTAAATGAAAAGAAAAAAATAGTATTTGCTCCTTTACTTTGTAATGTACTTAAGCAAATAATCAAAAACAAAAGAATAGTTTCATTTATAATCCTTTGTAATTTTACAATTACTTTTAAATACTTTCTTTGCTTGCTTTTCATGCATGGTGTGAAAATCACAGCTAATATAAATGCTCAAAGAGTCTGATTTGCACTAATATGTATGTGTGATTGTAAAATGCTTTTGTGTCATATAAATCATTTATGATTAAAAAATGTCCCAATGATACAAAGATAAGATTTTAAACCGAATATAATGCTGATATTGAGACTGTAAAAATCTTTAATATTCATTGATGGGTTCTTAGCTTAATAGAGAATGTCTGGGAACCATACTCATTAGGTTCTCCTAATGAACACATTTGTCACTAAACCTCAGGCACTTCTTTATAAAAAAAAAAAGGCAGGAGCAGGATAATTATCTTGAAAAAAAATTAATAAATATATGCTAACTTTAAACAATAAACATTTTAAATATGTATTTTGTGACAAATTGTATGTAGTCAAAAATAAAATGGTGCATGGGCAATGTTGGCAAGGCATGTAAAATCTGAACTATCCTTATTGTTGAGCCATATTGTTGTACATTTAAAAGATCATAATTTCCTCATCCTCACAAAAATGTTTGGCCTGCATTCAACATTACCCTCATAACATCTTTATTAAACACAAAATAATTAAAAACTGGTAAAACAAAAAAAAGGCTTTTTATTTGACAAAATCTAAATATAATATTGCATGGTTTTAAGATGCAAACTGTGACATGTAGAACATGATAGATTTTTGTCTTATTATCCTGGCTCAAATGTGGCTCGAAACAAACAGTCCACTTCAGTATCAACCACTAGCTTCTGTCCTCAGTTTCTTCAAGATTTCTTCCTGGCTGACAGCTGCAGTCACCCTGATAACCTTTTCTCTAGATTTGGAGCCCTATGAAGCAATTGAAACCGTATTGTTTATCATATCATTATAGTGGGCAGAAAACATTTAAATACACCATAGCTGGCGTTTATGGCTGCTGACCTTATCTAACGATACTTCACTCTTCTTCAGCTCCAGGACTTTGGATAAATATCGCAGCAGCTCGGCGTTGGCCTCTCCGTCTGTCGGCGGTGCAGCAATGGCGACCCCCACCGCCTCCTCAGACACATCTGTCACAAACACGATGCTTATGGTACATGGACTCCTCATAGATAAAGGCTAAGTTGGTTTCTTCATATATTTACAATACTCAACCAGTGACTGCGTTTTGTTTGGCCCCGGGTTTAGCATGTATTGCTATTGTAATTGTCCCGTCTTTAACTTTAGTAACCGGGCCGGGTGGTGTCTCCGGTGGTTTTGGGTTGCTTTTGCTCTAAAAGAGAATAGAGTTTTACATTGTTACAGGATTATTAATTGACAGTCAGAACATCATAACGTTACCAGAATTAAAGCTAATACTTCAAGTCAAGTCAAGTCTGCTTTATTGTCAATTCTTCCACATGTACAGCACATACACACAGAGAATTGAAATTGCGTTACTCTCAGACCCTTGGGTGCATACAGATAACATAAATACAGATTAAATACAAAATACAACTATACAAATAAGGTAAAATGTAAAAATATATATATAAAGCACAAGGCATATGGCAGATAGAGTGCAAACCAGTAAAGTAAACAACAGTGCAGATATAACTCATATATACTTGACTCATATTTAGGTGATATGGCTTAGTACTGTCATTATTAAGCCGATAATTATTCATACACATGCATGAATAAATATCAATATTCATAAAACATTCAGTGTACTATGTAATGAGCCCTACCGTCTTGTCCTTCTTAGGCATATTGTTGTATTGTGAGTAAACACTATTAGAGACGGAGCTGTAAAGTGGGATTTTCCGCGACCGACTGCACAATGCTGAGGGACGCACTAATGGAAATGAAGATAATCGCACAAAACTGAGAATTTGGGAATGCATTAGCTAGAAGACATAAGCATTATCCAAGTGTCTTGAGTGAGCAGCATGAGGTACTTGTGACAACAGTTTACATGAGAAACGCGCATGACAACAAATGCAAATACGTTTAGAGCGTCAAATATGCGCGCTAAATGCGCAGAACAGAGACCGCGTGGAGAAAATGCGTTCGAATAAGGCTAATGTTCTTTTTTTTTTTTAATCTGGCATTTTGATTTGGCATCTGATATTTCATTTGATGGCATATTTAACTGACCTAATAATAATAATAATAATAATAATAATGATAATAATAAACATTTTATTAAATATACGATAATAATTATTATGTAAATATAATTAAATAAAAATAGTAGTAGTAGTGATTTAGTTGAATTATTACTTTAATATAATTATTTTTTGCATTTAAATTATTAATATAAAATAATAAATAAAGAAGAACTAGTAGTGCTGGTGGTGATTTTAGTTGTATTTTTTAGTTGTAATAATAATTAGTAGAAAATTTAATTATTATATACTACATCTAAAATAGACACGTATTATTAAAAATTAACATGAATGAATGAATAAATAGCTTAGTGGTAGTGAGTTTAGTTGTATTATATATTTAAATAATAATAATAATTATTATTAATAATTATTATTAATATTATCAAAATGTAAGCGTATTATTAGTAGGAGTGGTGTTGAATTTAATTGCATTGATATTTTTGTAACTGTAGTAGTAGTAGTAGTAATAATAATAATAAAAATAAGTATTATTAGTAACTTTAGTTGCATTGTTATTATATACTAAAATAATTGTTTTAAAGATATTTTTAAATAAATAACTATTATTATTAGCAATAGTGAATGTATTATTATTATTATTATTATTATTAACACCAGTAGCAGTAGTTGTCTAGTAGTACTAGTATTTTTTTTCTTGCCTATTTGGTTCTCCAAGAACCAAAGGTATTTACAAGGTATTCCTTTCCAGAATAGAGATCCCTCCTCCAAGATGCAGTTAAGTTCCTCCTATTTTCATCCAGCTAAAAACTGGTTGTTCACACTGAGACTGGCTCAAACACTTTGTTTTACTGTGTGCACAGCTGCCAAAAAAAGAGTCATCTTTGTCTCCAGATACTAGACAAAGACACTATTTGGATTTGTTAAATCGCCTAGTTGACTACCAAAGTATAAAGGGAAGTGTCATCATGGAGAACAGCTTAAGCCGAGAAGCAGAGGAAAATCCCTATCTGTGGTAAGAACTGTTTTAACTCTCAAACATACGGAAAGTCAGTTTTAAATGCATAAAGTCTGAACCTTGAATCAGTCTTTTCTGATAGTTTAGCCCTGCACAGTGATCTCTTTAACTAATTAAACTAAAATAAAGTGCAGAATATATTCTCTCATCAAGCACTTGGGCACAGCTTTGAGTTGAGCTGACAATTGATAGCTGTGTCAGAACTCACACAGATGTTTCTCACAGTTGAACTGCTTTTCATGACTAGACTTGTCTTTACACAGACACACTTGCTTTGATCCCAAGGTCTCATTTCAGTGGATACACAAAATCCTCTGAGAATTATATATTAATATAGTTTTCTGAAATGTATTATGGCAAAAGGTAAGCTGTCAAAAAACACTTGTATTTCTAACTTTTATTAATGCATAATTGAAATGAAACATACATGCTTTCTCAAGAAACCCATGTGAGCAGACAGTAAAAAAAGTTTTTTCTAGTCTTCAGAGAACACCGTCTCTCAGACGTAAATGGAGAAAGCGCTATGGAGGCCTGGATGGTAATAAACTGCTGGAGCCAAATAAGGAGGACGACACAAGAGGTACAAAAACAAAATACTGCAAGAGTGTCATAGATGTGAGCCTGTGAACTTGGTGTTTCCACTGACAGTGACCCCGGTTGTGTGTCACATTAGCTGTGCATGGGAAAGTGTATTCTGATCATTGATTACGACTCACCGCCCAAATCCCAAATTCACATCAGCTCTATAGGAAAATTTCAAGATCAGTGTGAGAGTGCTGCTCAAAGTAGGCCAAATGAATGGGACAGTTCTGTAGACGCTCTCATTTAAGCATGCTTGTGGTCAACATCTGGGCCATAAAAATGTGCAAAGGCAGTGGGTGTGTTCTGGGGAGGAGTGATGTGGCATATATTGGTTTTAGTGTGGCTGACGAACACATATAATGCTATATAAAGCTTTAGAATCTTTGTTATAGCTTGCTCTTTCACTGACATGCATGTAAATTTGATATAACCATTTTTAAACCATTTTAAACTTTTTTACAAATTTAAAAATATAGAGATTTATTTTGAAATTAGTTACATATGTATTTTATTTTACAAATGAAGATTGCAGCAGCAGTTTAAAAGAATAGTTCACTCAAATATGAAAATTTGCTGAAAATGTACTCAGGCCATCCAAGATGTAGATTAATTTGTTTCTTTATGGGAATAGATTTGGAGAAATGTAGCATTACATCACTTGCTCACTAATGGATTCTCTGCAGTGAATGGGTGCCGTCAGAATGACCAAACAGCTGATAAAAACATCACAATAATCCACATGACTCCAGTACATCAATTAAAGTGAAAAGTTGTGTGTTTGTAATAAACAAATTCATAAAGGTGCTTTAACTTTTAATCATCTCTTCTGGCCAAAATATAGAGTCAATAATCCATAATTCATAATAATGTATTTATATATAAATCTGGACCACAGAACCAGTCATAAATCGCACATGTATATTTATAGGAATAGCCACAAATACATTGTATGGGTCAAAATTATCGATTTTTCTTTTATGCCAAAAATCATTAGGATATTAAGTAAAGATCATGTTCCATGAAGATATTTTGTACATTTCCAACCATAAATATATCAAAACTTCATTTTTGATTAGTAATATGCATGCATTTGGACAACTTTAAAGGTGATTTTCTCAATATTTAGATTTTTTTTTTGCACCCTCAGATTCCAGATTTTCAAGTAGTTGTATCTCGGCCAAATATTGTCCTAACATAACAAACCATACATCAATGGAAAGCTTATTTATTCAGCTTTTTTCATTTATTCAGATGTTGTATAAATCTCAATTTTAAAAAATTGACCCTTATGACCAGGGTCATATATATATATATGTATATATGATTAATTGATGGGATGTTAATTGATGTACTAGAGTCGTGTGGATTACTTGTGGATTATTGTGATGTTTTTACCTGCTGTTTGGACTCTCATTCACTGCAGATGATCCACTGGTGAGCAAGTGATGTAATGCTAAATTTCTCCAAATCTGTTCCCATGAAGAAACAAATTCAACTACATCTTGGATGGCTTGAGGATGAGTACATTTTCAGCAAATTTTCATTTTTGGGTGAACTATTCCCCAAGTGAGCAACCCAAAGACTTGTGGCATAGAGTAAAACTGCTTAGACTGTTATAAACCACATTCACATTGTTTTGTAAACTATATTTATGTTATGTGGGTTTCCTTTAAAAGAAACATAATTAACTTACTTTCAAGTTTCACCCCAAGGGATGGAAGTACCGTCTGCATAACTCCGTCTGGCATGTACCACCATATCTGGGCACAAAATCAACTTCCTGAGATGAGGATATTCAACCAAAAATGAAAATAATTCACCCTTGTGTAGTTCCACACATGTATGAATTTTTCATATGGAAAACAAAACAAGCTGTTTTTGTCCATACGATAAAACTGAATGGGGTCCAAAACAACACTGGACACCATTGACTTTCATTGTATATACTAAAATATCTTTTTTTGTGTGTTTGTCCTGTGGAATAAATGTCATACAGGTTTGGGATTACATGATTTTCATTTTGGTTAACTACTGTATGCCTTTAAGATTTATTGTTCTTTTAGATGGAAGATTAAGAGTAAAAATAGACCCCTATTCACAGCAGCATGGTTTCATATGTTTCAGCTTTCAGAAAATGTTATTATGTGGGATTTGCTGAGGTTTTGGACCGAGCGGACAACACAACACAAACAATGTCTTAAACTCGCAAGAAACTCGGTGTCCTAGATTCTAAAATAGCCTCATATACATTCTTTGCTGAGGCAATGCTTAGTGGTTTTCAACTTCGAAAATCCTTTTTAAATCTTGCACTCACAAATAAGTACTAATCTTAATCTTTAAACCTCTCTCAAGATTCAGCAAAGGAGGATTTTTCTCATCCTGGGTTTTTATTCTTTACCCCCCACTCATTCAGAGAATGGAGAGATGACAGATGCCCTCACCAACAGGAACGCAGACCCTGTGAAGTTTACTGCGTCTAAGGTACATGCTGAGTCCTGCATAACTACACCCACGCATAAAATATAAAACAAGCCTGGAGGCGTAAAACTATGACCAGCATTATTAAAAAGATTGAGGTGAGGGACATTTCAATACACCTGTGCTAATGTGCCGTTTTACTGCTGTCTAAAATGAGACTCCACTATTCAGCTGACATTTGCAAAAGAGATGTTTTGATTTAAAGGATTATTCCAGGTTCAATACAAGTTAAATGGTAGACTGTTTATTACCACAGAAAATAATGTGGCTCATCTCTTTTTTTTTCTCCTTCTCTTTAAAAAAAAGGCAGTGAGACACTTTTTTGAGACCATTTTTTTTTTTAGGTTTTTAAAGCATTTTTTAAATAAACACAATTAATTCTTGTAATTAAACTTGTGTATTACTTGGGATTTAAACTATTCTAATTTCTACAGTTGTTTTAGAGTTTATGGAGTTGCATTGTCATGTAAAATTCAATAATTTTGCACAGAAAAACAATTTTATCACACTAAAAAAAGTTAACATGCATATCCTAACACCTGTGGGGAAAAAAAGAACAAAGCTAATTTTTAAAAAGTGTTCTTGTTACAGAAATAAAAATTGAATCTAATGTTTTTGGACACTCAATTGCATGTTAATTGAAAACGTATTATAGTTTACTCTATTTAATTGAATTTATAATTTTAATTGTAAAATTAAAATTTATTTGGACTTTTAGTTCTAGTTAGTACATCATTATAAGTAATTTCACTATTAGTTATTCTGTGTTTGAAATATGGTTAACTGAAAAGCATTTATGGTAAACTAATATT